GTACTTTAGATGGAGGTTTACAGAACAAATAGTGTCTCATTAAACAGTTGGTACACATATTGTCCTATGATAATGGTTAACAACCCCACGACATGTCAACACTGTCCCTTCTCAACCCTGAGTTTCCTATCACCAGCTTTCCTGTCCCCTCCTGCCTTCTAGTCCTTGTCCCTGGACTGCTGTGCCTCATTAGTCCTGTTTTGTTTTATGGGGCTGTCCAATCCCCGGCTGAATGGTGAACCTCGAGAGTGACTTCACCACTGAGCTAAAAGAGTGTCTGGGGGCCATACTCTCGGGTTTTCTTCAGTCTCTGTCAGGCCAGTAAATCTAGTCTTTTTTTGTGAGTTAGAATTTTGTTCTACATCCTTCTGCAGCTCTGTCCAGGACCCTCTGTTGTGATCCTGGTCAAAGCAGTCAGTGGTGGTAGCGAGGCACCATCTAGCTATACTGGATTCAGTCTGGTGGCGGCCGTGGTAGCTGTGGTCCATTAGTCCTTTGGACTAATCTTGTATCCTGTTCTCTTCATTCTCCCTTGCTCCGGAAGGGGCGAGACCAGTGGAGTATCTTAGATGGCTGCTCACAGGCTTTTAAGATCCCAGACGCTACTCACCAAGGTAGACTGTAGAACATTGTCTTTATAAACTGTGTTATGCCAGTTGAGCTAGATGTACTCCGAGACCATGGTCACCACAGCCCTCAGTACCTCAGGGAGTTTGGATGTGTCTATGGAGCTTCCATGACCTTTCCTTGTACAAGTTGTGCTGGCTTCCCCAGTATCCACACTGTTCTTTTTGCTTGGAATGTTTCCCTCCATACAGCCATGTACTAAAATCTCATGCAGCTTTCAGGCCCCAGCTCAAGTCCTGTTCTCTCTTGGGAAGTCTTGCGTTGAGGCCCTGATGCAAACCAATACCTCCTTTGAACGCCTTAGCGTTCTGCACCACTTCTGTGGTACTTTTACGTATTACCTTGTAATTCTGTTTAAATATTTTACCAAATGATTTTAAGTTTCTTAATGTCAGTACGCTTTTTATACACTCTTATGTCTCTCTTGCACGTTATAGGTGCTCGGTAAAATTATTCTGAAGAATAGAATTTTCTAGAAGTTTTCAGATGGTAGGCATGCCTAAGATATGGAGAGGACTTGCTATTTTCTGTTTCCTCTGAGGACTGAAAAAAGGGAAAACAGATCTAAACAATTCTGGGAGGAATTTAGAGTCAATACAAGGACTATCCTAACACTGAGATTTTAAATGTTGGGATGTGCTGTGTGAGGAAGATTGATAGCATTATCTGGAAGTCTTTAAATTTACAATAATTCGGCTTCCTAGATTATTTTAAGAAAAACATTTAAGTTGATGTCTGGCCCCTTCCAAGTAAGTTATAAAATATGAGGCATCTGGGAGAAGTTTGACAAACTTTTAGATATAAAACCACAGCCTGCAAAAGGCTCTGGGGCGATGCCACCTCCTTCACAATGTCCTTGTTGTTCTCTCCAATGGAATAGCACATCTCTTGCCAGTGCAATAAAAATATAATGTGTGCTCGTGTGTGTTTTAATTTATACTTCTTTTAAGGTACTTAAAGCACGTCCCATATTAGAACGACTTTAGGTTCTTGTTTACTTCATTACAGATCAGAAGCTTGTTGATGGCAGGGGCCTTGTGGACATAATGGTGTTTGTTCATCAGTTCCTAGTGGTTCCTGGGGTTGCCCTTGCACCCAGTGACATCAGAGATAATCAGCTGCATCATCTATTATCTCAGTTACTCCAACCAACAACTCTGGGAAGAAGTCAGACAGGCTAACACATTTCTTCACACCAACACAATGCCCTCCAACTAGTAGGTGCTCATAAATACGGAGTGAGTGAGTAGAAATGCCTCAAAACGTCAACTGTGCTACTTGAATAGGAAGCTAACGCACTCAGAGTTGCCCAGGTAAGGAAAGCTTCCACAAAATGGAAAGGAAAATCCAGTTTCACTTATTTGATGCTATTTTAATTGGAACACTAGGACGTGTGTTAAGTTACTTGAGGGTCAGGTAAGAAGGTCTTCACCATAAAAAGATGATATGATCTCTACTATTTGATTTCAGGCGAGTTAGTGTAAATGTTAACTCAGCAAGACAGGGAAATAACAGCAAAAGTGAGCAAGCAGACCTGTGAGCTCTGAGAAGTGAATTTTATCCCATTACCTGGACAGTCAAAAGATTCTCAAACTGGTTAGTTGTTGTTATGGATTGAATTGTGTCTCCCCAAAATGTATGTCAACTTGCCTAGGCCATGATTCCTAGTATTGTGTGATTGTCCACCATTTTGTCATCTGATGTGATTTTCCTGTTGTAAATGCTACCTCTATGATGTTAATGAGGCAGGATTAGAGGCAGTTATGTTAATGAGGCAGGGCTCAATCCTTAAGATTAGGTTGTGTCTTGAGTCTGTCTCTTTTTGAGATATAAAAGAGAGAAGCAAGCAGAGAGACAGAGGGACGTCATGCCACCAAGAACCAAGAGCCAGGAGAATAGCGTGTCCTTTGGTCCCTGCACTGTGAAGCTCCTCCACCAGGGAAGATTGATGACAAGGACCTTCCCCCAGAGCCAACAGAGGGAGAAAGCCATCCCCTGGAGCTGGCAACCTGAGTTTGGACTTCTAGCCTCCTAGACTGTGAGAGAATAAATTTCTCTTTGTTAAAGCCACCCACTTGTGGTATTTCTGTTACAGCAGCACTAGGTAACTTATATAGTTGTTTAATACCACTGCAGATGAAACAAAGTAATCTCTAAGAAACAGCCCAAATAGGTGCACCTCAGTTTCTTCATCTGCAAATGTGGCAATGAGGAGTGAGAGCAAACTAGGGAAAGTCAGCCAAACATTCCACATGTTAAAAGAGAACAAAAGGAAACAAAAGTCCTGCCTGTTAACTAGTAATACATCATCCCAGTAAATCAAAGAAAAAAATCATCCCTGATCCTACCACCCAGAGAGAACCACTGTTAAAACTTTGGTGTTTATTCTTCCACAGATGGATTCTTACATAGATAGCTATACAGACAGACACACCCTAAATTTTCCCCCACAAATATGGAATTGTAAATTAATAATTCACGACTTTTTTTCCTCTTTTTTTAAAAATTGTGCTTTCCATGAAGGTTTACAGAACAAACTAGTTTTTCATTAAACAATTACTACACATATTGTTTTGTGGCATTGGTTGCCAACCCCACAACATGTCAATACTCTCCCCTTCTTGACCTTGGGTTCCCCATTACCAGCTTTCCTGTCCCCTCCTGCCTTCTAGTCCTTGCCCCTGGGCTGGTGTGCCCATTTAGTCTCATTTTGTTTTATGGGCCTGTCTAATCTTTGACTGAAGGGTGAATCTCAGAAGCAACTTCAGTACTCAGCTAAAAGGGTGTCCGGGGTTCATAATCAGGGGGTTTCTCCAGTCTCTGTCAGGCCAGTAAGTCTGGTCTTTTTGTGTGTGTGAGTGTGTGAGTTAGAATATTGTTGTACATATTTCTCCAGCTTTGTCCAGGACTCTCTATTGTGATCCCTGTCAGAGCAGTTGGTGATGGTAGCCGGGCACCATCTAGTTGTGCTAGATTCATCTGGTGGAGGTTGTGGTAGTTGTGGTCCATTAGTCGTTTGGACTAATCTTTCCCTTGTGTCTTTGGTTTTCTTCATTCTCTCTTGCTCCAGCTGGGTTGGGACCAGTGGAGTATGTTAGATGGCCTCTCAGAAGCTTTTAAGACCCCAGATGCCAGTCACCAAAGTAGGGTGTAGAATATTTTCTTTATAAACTATGTTATGCCAATTGAACTAGATGTTCCCCAAGACCATGGTCCCCATAGCTGTCAGCCCAGTAACAATTTACAATTTTTCATAAATATATTGTGAACCTCAATTTGTGCTTACAACAATAGTATTTTTCTCCAATGTGGATATGCCATATTTGTAAAAATGAATCTCCTATGGTTGGACACC